TGTAAACCGCTTAGAGAGGCCTGAAAGGCCTATGAAGCGGTATATAAGTCTACTGCTATTGCTACTAAGTTTAAGAACTGCAGCGATTCACTTACTAAATGTGGCAAGAAAAGTTGTAAAATGGGCCAAAAAGTCACTTAATAAATTTCTCACTTTGTGAGTGCGTGATCAGAAGTCGAGAACTATCTGTACTGTGTATGCAATCACTTTTTCTGATTTTTTTCTTTTTCTCTTTAAAAGTATTTACCCATCTCCAAACACCTAGGTAGCAAAAGCGATAACTAGATTTGGAGGTTTATTACAATTATTTGATTAGTATTAGACATGGAAATGGAGCAAATATTTCAACACATATTTCAACACATATTTATATTAACCAATTACCCTGCCCTCTGCCAGCAGACACTTATAAAACAAGTGACAGCCCAGAGTTTTGCCATATCAATCAAGATATAACCTATTCAGAGTTAGCTCATACAAACTCCATCTCCTATGAGGGAGTTTCCTTCAAGTAGAACTTAAAAGTTGAGGCACAAGACACCCACCTCCACCCCCAAAGAGCAATGACTCTGGAATCTTCTTGAGTCAGCACAAAGCTATCCCACTGATTATTTGTGGAAGACATGAATGCAGAACGTTATTCTTAGTCCAATCCCAGCCTACCTCAAAAGCAGCCTCTATCCATATTTTCGTGCTTGGCTTCCAAAGGAATATTTTTCCTTTTGGCTGACACAATCTTGGTGCAACAGTCTGCAATGTAGCCTTTGGAGATCACCTTGGCTTGTCCTGCCCCAGTTATCCTGAAGGTCCTATGAGCACAGCCCCAAGTCCCGTGATGGCAAAGCTATGGCACGGGTGCCCGAAGTGGCATGCGGAGTCACGTCTCCTGGCATGTGCTACGTCGCCTGTTCCTTTTCCAGGTTTCTGGCATGCATGTGTACATGATGATCAGCTGACCTTCATGAGGCAGTGCCGGAAAGTGGAAGAGCTGGTCTTCTATTTTTCGGCGTAAGCATGTGCGCCAGCCAGCTGTTTGTTGCCCATGCATGCATGCCAGTAACTGGAAGACTAGCTGCCTGGTGCACATGTGGGTGTTGGCAATTGGAAGTTCATTTTCCAGCATGTGCATGCCCCCTGGGCAGCTCCTCTTCTGAGGTGCATCCCAGATGAGCGTGCACGCTCCCTTTTTGGCACTCAGTGCCAAAAAGATTCACCCTCACTGCCCTAGTCCCTGCCACTGATTTTCAGGGCCAGTAGGGGAGCTAAGGACTTGCACTAGGTCAAAAGTCATCCTCCCCATTTCTCTGGGCAAGCCCTGGATGGCAAATGCAATAGCCAGATAAGTGGCCCACGGTTCTTCCAGAGCAGTGTTTTTCAACCTTGGCAACTTTAAGATGTCTGTTAAGTAAGCTCCCCGTTGGGAGAGCGAGTGCATTCAGAGAAGCGTTGTGAGAGTTGTGTTGGAGAACACACAAACCAGCATACAGAGACACTGCAGTTTAAATAGGCCATTACTTTCGTGGAAGTAGGGATATCAGACTCCATCAAACAGTCCAAGTCTTACACGGATAAGACAGTCAGTCATCAACGTCTTTCAGTTAAGGCAGCTAGCTCTTCTGGCTGGAGAACTCTGGGAGTTGAAGTCCACAAGTCTTAAAGTTGCCAAGTTTGGGAACTACTAAGTTAAGGGATAATCCAAATAACATAGCCCATAAACATACAAACAGTCCGGTACTCAAAGTTTGCTAG